ATATATATTTGGAAACTTGTATATGCTAGCCATTAATGCATACATTTAAAAAGTTCTCAAATAAGGTATGAATTAAATGTTCTCATTTCTTTTGCTACTATTTTTAGTAAATGGTTATTTATATTAGTACATAGCTTGTGCGATGCATGTGACAAATATATTAAATGAGTCTTTGTCTGTTTATGCACAAAATATAATAGGTTTTTATAATCTATTTTTCATCTTTTTAAACCGTAAGATTCGAATATGAATATTAGTTCCGGTGCGCATAGGATTCATCTTCTTAGATTCTTGTTAGATACATACACGATCAGCAGGCGTTCTTCAGCGAATTCAACATTTCTTATTAAAGAGGCTACTTGGATAAGAAAGCAACACTTTTATATAAGGAGGTTGCCAAGTTCTGTTATATTTTAACGGATTTACACTTAAAAATGCAGTATTTCGGTATCCACGAATGAGATCTAACTTGAGCGTCGAAGTTTTTTCGTCAAAACCACTCTGCGGCATGTTTTGCAGGTCACTAGAACTCAAGACAAATGGTGATTGTGGCGGACTAAACATGGTTTGGAATCAATTTGCGTATGTCATTGTTTCACAAGTCAGAAATATAAAATGATTGAAAATATTAATGTGATGCTGAAAACAATATAATGTAAAAAAAAATGTTGTATATAAATAAATTTTATGTAATCGCCCCTCTGAATTGTTTTTTTAATAATTTTTCTTTTGCAGCCCGCATTCATTTGCACAGGCAACCCTAATATTTTTGTAACTCTGAATTTAGTGAGAAAGTCTAAATGACATGGATCGGTTCGGAAGATGAGGATTTTCAATGTTGTTTCGTTTAATATATTTGTTTATAACTAATTTCTATAATATTGTGAGTTGGAAATATTAGGAAAAGATTAAAATAAAGTGGCGGATACCACATGCCCACTTGCATCAACACTAACATGCCCAAATGCTAAGATGCTCAATTGTTCACATGCCCACATGCAATTGACAATTAAAAAAAAATATTAAAAAATTACAAATGGGATTGCAATTTGAGCAGTTGATTCCTTTCATCCGCCTATAAATAGGCATTCTCGGCAAAGGAGAAAAGGTACCAAACAGAAGAGAAAAAGAGAGGAAAGAAAGAGAAAGAGAAAGGAAAGAAAGATAGATTTATGTTCAAATATCAAATATAAAAATATCAAAAGAGAAAAAACAAGTGATATCCGTTGTATCTTTGGGGATGTTACGCCTGAACCGTTAGCTGCCACATGGGGTGTATTCTTCTTGCGGAAAGAGTTTTACTCGCCTCGGCTAAAATCTTTTCGTTTTTCAGTTGTAATTTATTTTTCAGTTCTTTTTCAATTGTTTTTTTTTT